TTTTTTTTTTTTTNTGCTATAAAGTCTTGCTCTGTTGCAGGCTGGAGTGCAGTGGTGTGATCTTGGCTCACTGCAACCTCTGCCTCCTGGATTCAAGTGATTCTCCTGCCTCAGCCTCCCAAGTAGCTGGGAATACAGGTGTGTGCCACCATGCCCAGCTAATTTTTTGTATTTTTAGTAGAGATGGGGTTTCACTGTGTTAGCCAGGATGGTCTCAATCTCCTGACCTTGTGATTCGCCCACCTCAGCCTCCCAAAGTACTGGGATTACAGGTGTAAGCCACCTCGCCTGATCTAAATTAATAAATTTAATTAATAATTAAATTAGAAATTTACACCTTATACAAAAATTAACTCAAGATGGATTAAAGACTTAAATGTAAAACCCCAAATCATAAAAACCCTAAAGAAAACCTAGGCAACACCACTCAGGACACAGGCATGGGCAGACTTCATGACAAAAACACCAAAAGCAATTGCAACAAAAGCCAAAATTGACAAAAGAGATCTAATTAAACTAAAGAGCTTCTGCACAGCAAAAGAAACTATCATCAGAGTGAACAGGCAACCTGTGGAATGGGAGAAAATTTTTTCAATTTACCCATCTGACAAATGTCTAATATTCAGAATTTATAAGGAACTTAAACAAATTTACAAGAAAAAAAACAACCCCACCAAAATGTGGGCAAAGGATATGAGTAGACACTTCTCAAAAGAAGACATTTATGTGGCCAACAAACATGAAAAAAAGCTCAACATCACTGATCATCAGAGAAATGCAAATCAAAACCACAGTGAGATACCAACTTATGCCAATCAGAGTGGCGATTATTAAAAAGTCAGGAAACAATAGATGGTGGTGAGGCTGTTGGTGGGAATGTAAATTAGTTCAACCATTGTGGAAGACAGTATGCAATTCCTCAAGGATCTAGAACCACAAATACCATTTAATCCAGCAATATCATTACTGGGTATATACCCAAAGGAATATAAATCATTCTACTATAAAGACATATGCACACATGTTTATGGCAACACTATTTAGAATAGAAAAGACATGGAACCAGCCCAAATGCCCATTAATGATGGACTGGATAAAGAAAATGTGGCACATATACACCATGGAATACCATATCCCCATAAAAGGAGTGAGATCATGTCCTTTGCAGGGACATGGATGAAGCTGCAAGCCATTATCCTCAGCAAAGTAACACAGGAATAGAAAACCAGATACTGCATATTCTCACTCATAAGTGAGAGTTGAACAATGAGAGCACATGTACACAGAGAGGTAAACATCACCCCACTGGGGGTGATGGGTGAGGGAAGGGAACTTAGAGGATGGATCAATAGATGCAGCAAATCACCATGGCACATGTATACCTGTGTAACAAACCTGCACATTCTGCACATGTATCCTGTCTTTTTTTTCTTTAGAAAAAGAAAAAAAAAATAGAGACAAGGTGTTCATCTGGCTTGAGACCAGTCATGTTGCCCAGGCTGGTCTCAAACTCCAGGGCTCAAGCAATCCTCCCACCTCAGCCTCCCACAGTGCTGGGATTACAGGTGCGAGCCACCATGTCCAGCCTATTTATTTTTGAACGAGTTCTTGCTGTCACTGAGGCTGGAGTGCAGTGGCTCAATCATTGCTCACTGCAGCCTCAAACTCCTGGGCATGAGCTAACCTCTCACCTCAACCTCCTAAGTAGCTAGGACTATAGGCACACACTACAGTGTCCAGCTCATATTTTTATTATTTATAGAAACGGAGGCCCAGGCTGATCTCGAACTCCTGGCCTCAAGCAATCCTCCTGCCTCAGCCTCCCAAAATGCTGGGATTACATGTGTGAGCCACTGCGCCCAGCCTATTTATTTATTTTTGAGATAGAGTCTTGCTCTGTTGCCCAGGCTACAGTGCAGTGGTGTGATCATAGCTCACTGCAACCTCAAACTCCTGGTCACAAGAGATCTTCTCACCTCAGCCTACTGAATAGTTAAGACTACGGATGCATGCCACAGCATGCAGCTCATATTTTTATTATTTTGTAGAAATGGAGGTATCGCTTTGTTGCCCAGCCTGATCTTAAACTTCTAGCCTCAAGTGATCCTCCTGCCTCAGCCTCTTAAAGTGCTGGGATTGCAGGCATGAGCCACTGTGCCTGGCCAGAATGTGCACTTTAACAAGATCCCGAGGAGACTAATATTTGCACTAAATGTTGAGAAGCATTGACTGTAGAGCAAACTTTGGGAAACACTGAACAACTCTGATCAGTGAATGCAGCTCTGAGAAGAGATGTGCCTTGTCTAAATTCCCTAATCAGTCAGTAGTAAGCAGATTTAGGATTAGAATCCAAGTGTCACGAGTCCTAGTCATATTCACTTTCCAGCACACCCTGGCTGTCTCCCTCATCTAGGAAACAAGGAGGCCTGATTTGACCATTGTTAGAGAAGGAAGTTAGCATGTGATTATGGTAGTCACATGAGCTGTCATCCAAACACAGTCACTTTTTTGGTTTTATTTTATTTTAATTATAAAATAATTTTCTTTACTAGAAACAGAGTCTCACTATGTTGCCCAGGCTAGCCTCAAACACCTGGGTTCAAGCGATCCACCTATCTTGGCCTCCCAAAGTGCTGGGATTACAGGCATGAGCCACCACACCCAGCCTAAACACAGTCACTTTTGAAGGTGCAAGAGGGCACCATTAACTATTTCAGAACAACAAATACAACCTGACATAAGTGGTCACTCTATATACCTAAGGATTTTTCTACCTTATATGTCCCCCTCACATTTGTTAACTCAACTGCATAAATTACTGATGACAAAATAATTTTAAAGTTCTAACTTTTATTTATGTATATTTACTTATTTATTTATTTTTGAGATAGGATCTCACTCTGTTGCCCAGGCTGGAGTGCAGTGGCATGATTTTGGCTCACCATGATCTCTGCCTCCCAGGCTCAAGTGATTCTCCTGCTTCAGCCTCCCAAGTAGCTGGAATTACAAGCACCCACCACTATTGCCCACCTAATTTTTGTATTTTTAGTAGAGACAAGGTTTCACCATGTTGGCTAGGCTGGTCTTGAACTCCTGACCTCAAATGATCCACATACCCCAGCCTCCCAAGGTGTTGGGATTATAGGTGTGAGCCACCACGTCTGGCCTAAAGTTCTAACTTTTAAATAAAACCTGGTTCTCAACCAAATACATGCATCTCATTATAATTAAAAAAAAAATTACTATCTAACCTCCTTAAGAATAGAGAGAGAGAAAGCCCAAATTAGCAAAATAAGAGAATACGAGAAGCAATGACAGATGCATACAAAGTTGAAATGATTTTGAAATTGCTTTGCTGAACCCATTCAACTAAATTTGAAAACCTGGTTTCCACACTGTCATTCACCGTGGCCATGTCTGTGGCCAAGCCAGGGCTGGAAGCTACATCTCATGGCTTTCTGCCAAGTCATTTCCCTGTGAGTCAACCAGACTTCAGAGTCTCATTCCTGAAACTGTTATTCCAGTACTCTAACCTGGAGCTAAGATGTCTGGGTAGCTTGGTGGGAATGCGGCTCTTCCGTGGGAATGGGACCCAGATGATCTGAAGATATATTTCCTGAGCACATCTCTTATGACAAATGCCCACATGTCCCCATCTGACACCAGCGTAGTCTGCCATGATCAGGCCACCCAGCTCTAGAAAGAAAAGATGGGAATGTCCCTGATCCTGAACGTTAGACCTGGGAGATCTCCTCCTGTCGGAGTTGTAGCTAGCATTCCATATCTACACTATCTTTAATGATTTTAATATTGATAATACTAACAACGACTGGTATTTATTGTTTCTTTACTCCTTTGTCCCCTGTCATCGCATCGTCTCCCCATTTTACAGAAATAAAAGCACAAAGGGGTTGATTAACTTGCCCAAAGCCACACAGAGAGTAACAGAGTTGAGATTTGACCCCAAGCAATCTGATTCCAGAGATTACACTTTACTTCCAGTTATGATTCCAACAGTATTTTTCTCATATTATTTTGAGACTTCTGAGAATTATTATCAGAATAATATATATATCAGTATACCGGACTATGTATATAATGGAACCACTATGCCTCATAATTGTTTTTTTAAAGAGTTCCAAGAGACATAAGACAGAAACTATTGGTTACTGGACATTCACTAAGTGTAAGTGCTTGTACATGAATCCGCTCAGTAATCTTAAAACCAAAACCAGAACCAAACAAACCGCACCCGCCCCCCAGGGAGGGTGGTGATTTTCATTCATCAGCTGAGACAAAGGAAGCCCAGAGGGGTTCCATAACTCGCTTGGGCTCCTACAGCTAGGTGGCAAGTCCGGGGCTCAGAGCCAGCCCATCTGGCTGGTGAGCACATTCTTCGCCACCAGCCACACCCCACTGCCAGTCCTTGACCCAGTTATTCATTCAGTCCTCACAGCACCTGATAGGAGCCATTTCCCGCCCACTTGCCTTTCACATGTAAGATGGGGAAACTGATGCTGAGAAAAGTGTATTAGGTTGGTGCAAAAGTAATTGCGGTTTTTGCCTTTAACATGTCAAAGCCACAATTACTTTTGCAGCAACCGAATAATTTGCTAAGTGCCATTTGATGATTTGGGGGCTGGCTAGCCAGGGAGCCAAAGCCTGTTGCATCTGTTTTCACTTCCCCAGGCCTTAGCGGTGCGGTCCAAGGTTCGCCCTCTGCCACAGATCCTCCTCCCCCTCCTCCCCACAACAGCTCCCCCTCCTCCTCTCCCTCCTTCTCGCCCTCTCCATCCCCTTCCTCTTCTCCCTCCTCCTCCTCTCCCTACCACCACGCCCGGGGCCCCGCCCTGCGGGTCTCACCTGCGGCTCCGCGGGGTCCCGGCGTAGGTCGGACAGCGCCCCCTGGCGGCAGGTGGGGGCCCGCGCAGCGCGTGCTAACGAGCCCCCGGCGCCGCTCGCGGATTGGCTGGCGCGGATTCCAGCTGCTTTCCAAGTCGGAGGCCCAGAGTGAGGGTCGGGGGGGCCCGGCCCGCGCCCTCCGCGCCCAGCCGCCTCCCCGTCCACGCCCAGGGCTGGGGCGGGCCCGGCTGCCTTTCAGACTTGGGGGGCTTCTCCTCTTGTCTCCCACTGGTGCTCTGGCTGTGAATCCATCCAGGGGCCCGATGACAACCCGACACCAAGGCCAGCAGTACAGGCCGAGGATGGCCTTCCTCCAGAAGGTAACCCCGGCCCCTCACCTGGGCCCCGGCAGGCGGCGGGGGACCCCGCCTGGGAAGCGTCCGAGGACACGCGGGGCAGGAGTGCGGGGCGCCCCTTTGGGTCTATTTGAGCTGCTCGATTTCATTAAGAGACTTGCGTGAGTTGTGATAAAGACAATTCCTTTTAGGATTCCAAGCTGTGTCCTCGGCCTGGAGACTGGGACAGAGATCTGACCACCCCAGCCCGAGTCACACAAGGTAACCCAGACAGCCACCTACGAATTTAAAGCTCCTATACGTTGCCCTTTCTGGATCCAAAGTGTGATATTTGAAAGTTAAAAATGTATCTTACACACATAGATCTTAAAATGTATCTCACACCACAACCTACTCACAGCTGCAAAGGCAGGGGTCAGGGTCTTCCATTGCTTGGGGTCCCTGGCTGGATTTGAGGCTGAATGTCAGGGTTTCCCGTCCCACGATCTCATTCTGCACCACGTGCTGTCAGCCAGACAGCCAAAGTGGACTTGGAGCCTGGCATCTGCTGGGCACTGCTCGAGGTACCAGACACACACTGGTGAGCAAAACAAGCATGGTCCCTGTCCTCAAAGTCCCTGGAGGCTAAGTGACTCACGCAAGGGCAGCTTAACAGTGCCCAGACTTTAGGCGTGTGATGGAGGACTGGGCCCACCACAAGGTACCTTAGGGTGCCCCCAGTCCAATATATCTACTTTCTTTTTGTTTGAGATGGAGTCTCACTCTGTTGCCTAGGCTGGAGTGCAGTAGTGTGATCTCAGCTCACGGCGACCTCTGCCTCCCAGGTTCAAGTGATTCTCCTGCCTCAGCCTCCCAAGTAGCTGGGATTACAGGTGTGTGCCACCACACCTGGCTAATTTTTGTATTATAGTAGAGGTGGGATTTCATCATGTTGGCCAGGCTGGTCTTGAACTGCTGACTTCCAGTGATCCAACTGTCTCGGCCTCCCAAAGTGCTGGCATTACAGACATGAGCCATTGCACCTGGCCAGGAGAAACATAAAATTAAGACTGTAGTGAGAAGGAGCTTCTGATTCTATGTGAAGAGTAGGGTAGTTACCACAGAAGAGAGAGGCTTGAAGAGTGGAGGATGCTGAGGCTTCTGTTGGGCAGAGGAAGGAAGACCCCGGCCTCAGAAGCAGCCCCTGCTGAAGCACAGAGATGTATGAGAGCCTGGTGTGTCTGAGGGCACACTGATTGCGGTTTGTTGAGCTTATGGTATAAAGGGAGTGTGAGGTGGGACAGGCAGGCAGGGATGAATAGGAAAGTCTCCTATGCCTTACAAAGGTGGTGTTATTTCCCCCCAAAGAGCAGATGTGGTCAAATTTAGGTTTAAACGAGCACTCTAACATAAGCCAGAGGAATGGATGGAAGGTATTCTCTTCCCTGAACTAAGAGAATTCACTCAGGGTCTTTCTGTGGTGCCTGAAACTCCAGTCACCTAGAAGATGACACCTTTTCATGGGGTCAGAGGGAGTGGTGCTGGTCAGAAGGGCCCCTCCTCTGTGATTGTTGAGGCTTTCACACCTATGTCTCCATCCCAGGCTTGATGCAGCCCTACGTCGGCATGTCTCCCAGCCAAGCTGATGCCCACCAGCCAAGCTGATGCCCACCTCTGATGCCTGGACTTGTTTAAAATGTGGTGGAGGCTGGGCATGGTGGCTCATGCCTATGATCTCAGCAGTTTGGAAGGCTGAGGTGGGAGGATGACTTAAGCCCAGGAGTTTGAGGCCAGACTGGGCAACAGAGTAAGACACTGTCTCTACAAAAAAATTTTAAAAATTAGCCAGATGTGGTGGTGCATACCTGTAGTCCCAGGTACGTAAGCTGAGGTTGGCGGATCGCTTGAGTCTAGGAGGTCCTGGCTGCAGTGAGGTGTGATTGCACCATGCACCATTGCACTCCAGTCTGGGTGACAGAGTGAAATACTGTCTCAAAACTACATACATAGAATTTTTTTTTAATGTGGTAGAAGGAGATTAAGAATTCCCCTGCCCAGCGGCTCTGCCTGGGGGTGTTAGCTGGTGACACACCACACAGTGAACTAAACAGCAGGGCAGGGAAGCTGCTGTGGTCTCCAGCACCCACTGGGTTTTTTTGTTTTGTTTTTTGACAGAGTCTCAGTCTGTCACCAGGCTGGTGTGCAGTGGTGCAATCTCAGCTTACTGTAAACTCTACCCCCCAGGTTCAAGCAATTCTCCTGCCTCTGCCTCCCAAGTAGCTGAGACTACAGGCACATACCACCATGCCCCCCTAATTTTTGTATATTTAGTAGAGACTGGGTTTCACTATGTTAGCCAGGATGGTCTCAATCTCTTGACCTCGTGATCTGCCCACCTCTGTCTCCCAAAGTGCTGGAATTACAGGCATGAGCTATTGTGCCCGGCCACCAGCAGGGCTCTTGTTTCAGTCTAGCTCCTCATTTCCTGTGTTTTGGTAGCCCTGACCACCTAGGAGTGAAGTGGAAAAAAGTCCTATCTGGAGTTCCAAAATGCTTTCCTATTTGACTTAAGGAAATGTTGAGGATGTGAGGGTGTTCTTGGGGCAGATGGGGTGCCAGGAAGAGAGTTGAGCTTAGACGATGGCTACAGGAAGGCAGGATCTCAATGAGGCTTGGGCAAAATTTAGAATTGCTTATATCATTTGTTCACTCCTCCTTGTAACAGACACTTATTGAGCACCTACTATGTGTCAGATATTGTTAGACACTGATAACACAGACTTCAGGACACAGTCCCTGTTCTCAGGTGACTTGTAGTCTAGTGGTAGGAGATGGCCATGTATATCAATGCAGACAGCTGGAAGGTAAAGGTGGTGCTTAAGTGTGGGCCTTTACTTTATCCTGGGTGGGATGCCAAGAAAGCATTCTGAAAGATATGGTGGTGGTTTAGCTGGGTCTTGGGGATGTGAGGGTGTTCTTGGCGCAGATGGGGTGCCAGGAAGGAAGTTGGGACAAAGGCGAAGGAGGAACATGAACTTGGCTGTGGATCTACTCTGCGTCTGTTGGTGGTCAGAGCCAGATGGTGATGTACAGCAGGCAATTCTGTATCTGGAAGGCAGGGCCTGAGAAACTCGGGAGACACATCAAACTGGCCATTGAGAATGTAACAGAAACAAGGGATGTTTCTGAGGCAGGGCACAGTTAACAGGACGTATTAGACTTGGGCATTTGGACTGTGGCTGGCAGTGCTGTAGTTGGGATGTGAGTTGCCTACCGAAAAAAAAAGAGTGCAATGGCTTGTGTTGGAAATAGGTTTATAACGTCAGGAAGAGTCCACGTGAAGACAATGGATCGCTCAGCAAGGCTAGTTTACTTCCTGCAGGAAGGGGGCAACTTGCTGGCAGTCTCGCCACAAGAGCACACCTGAACAAAGGGGACAGGGACATTTATAACTTTCATAACCTGACGCAATCGCCCTACTGCTGTGTCCAGTTTCCATTGGTCGGAATGGGACCTCGCATGCTATGCTTGATCTGATTGGCTAAAATATCTGAAAATTTCCTGAATAGATAAGGGGAACAGAGACAAGGAAAAAGAGGAGGCTAATCAGGAGAAGGTCAGGAGGGTTTCCAAATAAGGAATGGCATGCACCGGGGTGTGGAGCTTGCCTAGTCCTGTTCAGACATGCCAGATCGAGTCCAGGTAGCTGATTTAAGAAGTAGCCGATTTAGAGAATATATATACATAAGTATATGTTTATGCTAATAGCGGATAATGGCCATAGAGCAAGAGATTGTAACTCCTTATAATGCAGTCTAAGATATAAACTTTGAAGAAGAATTTTCCCATCTTTCACAGTTTGGGGTCACTATTTACATTTCTGCACAGCAAACACGTAATTATGTTTGTCTTCTAAGAAGCCTTCTCCGGATTATAGGAAAATTTCAGTCCCTGAGATCTTGTAGAGAGTGACAGCCACTTACTATGAGAAGAAATTGTGACCATGGGGTGGATGGGGTATTGAAGCTATCACTTTCTGAGACTTTTAGTGACTGTCTGGGCTCTTTATTTTTTTATTTTTTATTTTTTTTTTGGGACAGAGTTTCGCTCTTGTTACCCAGGCTGGAGTGCAATGGCGCGATCTCGGCTCACCGCAACCTCCGCCTCCCGGGTTCAGGCAATTCTCCTGCCTCAGCCTCCTGAGTCGCTGGGATTACAAGCACGCGCCACCATGCCCAGATAATTTTTTGTATTTTTAGTAGAGACGGGGTTTCACCATGTTGACCAGGATGGTCTCGATCTCTTGACCTCGTGATCCACCCGCCTCGGCCTCCCACAGTGCTGGGATTACAGGCTTCAGCCACCGCGGCCGGCTGTCTGGGCTCTTTAAAATGTTCAAGGTCGGCCGGGCGCGGTGGCTCAAGCCTGTAATCCCAGCACTTTGGGAGGCCGAGGCGGGTGGATCACGAGGTCAAGAGATCGAGACCATCCTGGTCAACATGGTGAAACCCCGTCTCTACTAAAACTACAAAAAATTAGCTGGGCATGGTGGCACGTGCCTGTAGTCCCAGCTACTCAGGAGGCTGAGGCAGGAGAATTGCTTGAACCCGGGAGGCGGAGGTTGCGGTGAGCCGAGATCGCGCCATTGTACTCCAGCCTGGGTAACAAGAGCGAAACTCCGTCTCAAAAAAAAAAAAAAAAAAAAATGTTCAATGTCATACCTCACTTACCTGGAATCTGAGAGGGGAAATGCCAGGCCTGTGGTGGGGTCAGAGAGGGTCCAGTGATGACTCCCCCTTTTTTTTTCTGATAAAGTGAAGTGGCGTGATCTTGGCTCACTGCAACCTCCACCCCTGGGTTCAAGCTATTCTCCTGCCTCAGGCCCCTGAGTACCTGGGATCACAGGCATCCACCACCATACTGGCTAATTTTTGTGTTTTCAGTAGAGATGGGGTTTTGCCATGTTGGCCAGGCTGGTCTTGAACTCCTGACCTCAGGTGATCCACCCGCCTTGGCCTCCCAAAGTGCTGGGATTACAGACATGAGTCACTGCGCCCCGCCCAGTGATGACCCTTTTGTGCAGCATTGGTTTCAGCCCTCAGGAAATAGTTGTGGAGAAGTCAGGATTCTGAGAGAACTGGGCAGCTGTGGTGTGGTCAACAGTGGTGGGGTGGGGTGTGGAGTTGATGGTATAGGGAAGGACCAGGGGGTCTTCAAAGTGTCTCACAAAAGGAGATACCTCAGAAGGGATGCAGCCTGGACAGAAAGAGAAGGAGGGGCCTAGAGAAAGGCCAGAGCTACACCCTTCCTGGAGAGCTTGAAAACCAAGGTGGATTTTCTCATCGTGAGTGGACACTAAGACCACCTCTCCAAGACCATCACAGACCCACGGAGTCAGTCATATTTTTTTTGTATTTTAGATTTACTACAATTTAAGAAAGAATCCCTTAAGTGAATTTACATGGAAAGAGGTCAGAGGAAAATTATTCTGTCCCCTAATGGGAAGACCTCTAAAAATGTTCACAACACAGATTTCCCTCTTTCCAGCAAATCCCTCCTTTGTGCGAAGTGAGACTTCATTGCTGGAAAGCCATCTGCCTCTCTTGATTGTGCTTTTAGGAATAGCTCCCGTTAATCTCCTTTGAAGGTTAGTTGCAAATTCTTCAGATTTTTTTTTTTTTTAACACAAAGGGAAAGAAATGGAGTGGTTGTCATTTTTATCAGAGAAGTTTAAATGTCTAACTGGCAAAGCAGGTACCACTCCTCCATCTGCTGTTTATCTCCCTCTACCTCGCTACTAAGGAGATGGTTGTTTCACCTGACGAGGTACAGTATTTATAACCTGAAAGGTTATGACTGAAAGGATGAGGATGCTTTAAGCCCTGCCATCAGAAACTAGTGTAACAGCGTGTGTGTGTGTGTGTGTGTGTGTGTGTGTGTGTGTGTGTGTGTTTTGAGGAGGAGGGGGCCACTGGCTGCTGCTAAAAAGCGTCACTCCAGAGGCTGTGCCTCCTCATCCCCTGGCCATCCCCAGGAGGAGCAGGACCACCTCCCAGCATCCCCCAATACAGTCTGGGGTTGTGTCTTTGCTTCCCTCTTTGCTGTTAGCTTCATGGCTGACCCAATGGCCAGAAACACTGCCAGGCCCTGACATTGCAGAAAGCCAAGGACTGTGGCTCCAAATCAAGCTGAAATGAATAGCTTTTGTTCCAAAACAATGCTGTGAGCCAAGAAAGTGTCCATGCAGATAAAGCTTGCAGTCAGTCTTGCACAAGGAGCCCCAGCCATGTTTTGCATGCTGTCTGAATAGCTGGCGCGGTGCCCGGAGTGCTGAGTGGTGAGGCTTTCCTCAGAGCCTTCCCTGTGCACCTGATCTTGGCCCACGTCTTGAGATTGTGGTTCAGCTGCGAATGCTTGTTTAGCAACAGAGATTGAAATAGGAAATCCCTTTCCTTAGTGTTGGCATAAGACATTGTTCCATCCTCTTTCCCTCCTTGGGAAGATTGGAGCCTTCTAGCTTCAGGAGCAGGCTGGCTGAGAGGGAGGGGGCAAGAAGGATTTTTTTCTGATTCAGCTGTCTTCTGATATATCCAGGTTAGTCTACACCTCCTTCCTGTCTGCCTGGCCATATCATGGGTTCCTTCCCAAGTTCACTTCCTTTAGGAAGCATTCATTGACCGTCTGTTTTAGTTGATTTTCTATTGATAAAACAGAATGCTTGAGATAGGCTAATTTAAAAAGAAAAGAAGCTTATTTGTCTCCTGGTTACGGAGGCTGAGAAGACCAAGGGCATGGTGACAGCTTCTGGCAAGGTATTTTATACTGCACCATAACACGGCAGAAATGTGGAAGGGCAAGTGAGTGCATGCAAAAGAGACCTCAGGGCACTAACTCAGTCTCTTGGAAATGATCTCACTCACAATCAGCATTAATCCATTTATGAGGCTCTACCTTTATTACCTAATTCCCTTTTAAAAGGCCCCACCTCTCAATACTGTTACATTAGCAACTAAGTTCCCAACACATGGACTTTTGGGGGACACACTCAAACCCATAGAAGCATCCTATGATCATGGTCCCTTTTCAGCTCCTGTTCAATTAGGATCTGTATGATTCATATGAGACACGCTTTTTTTTTTTTTTAGACAGAATTTCACTCTCGTTGCCCAGGCTGGAGTGCAATGGCATAATCTCTGCGATGACCTCCACCTCCCAGGTGTAAGCGATTCCCCTATTTATTTCCCTCTGATACAGAAAGGTTTGCTCCTCCTTTTATTCTACTTGGTCATACCATGGGTTCCCTTCCAAGTTCACTTCCTCTAGGAAGTATTCTTTGATCATTTGTCTTAGTCCATTTTTTGTTGCTCTAACATAATACTCAAGACTGGGTAACTTACAAAGAAAAGAAGCTTATTTGGCTCGCAATTATGGAGGCTGGGAAGTCCAAGGGCATGGCTATAACCAACTCATGGTCTTTCATCTTTGCATGCCCTCCTTTTTGCCACCATCTATAATTTTGCAAGACAATTCAAACACTGTTGCTCCTCCATGAGAGCTTCCATTTTTCTGTGAATGACATTGAAGATCTATTGTGTCCTGAATCTATTTGCTCTCCCCATGCATACCATGCAGTTTTACCCATTTATGCCTTTGCACATGCTTGTTCCTCAGTCTCAAATGCTCCTTTCCTCCGTAGCAGAAGCGATAGCTTCTTGCCAAATAGCCCATGTTCTCTGAGTTAGGATTAATGGGCCATGAGCAGAAGTGTTGTGTGGGCTTTCAGGCTGAAGCTTTGATGGGCAGGTACCAACTCTCTATGATTTTCTCTCTTCCCCTGCACAGTGATAGATGGAATGAGAAACCACAAATGGTAGCAGCCAAGACAGCTGAGTCAAGACATCAAGGAAGGTCCCTGGATGTGGCCCAACTTGACTTAGTATTTTCTTAAGAGAGAGAAACCATTGTTGGGTTAAACCTGCATTATCACAGCATAATCGAAACTCTCCTGACTACACTCTCATTTTCTGCCAGTTAAAAATCTTCATCTTTTAAGTATCAGCTTAAATACTCTTTCTTTAAAAGCCTTCCAGAACCAGCCCACCCCCAGTCAGAATTGATGTCTTTTCTTTGTGCTTTCACAGCCTGTGTAACTTATGTCTATTTGACACTGAACGCCTGGAATTACGGTCAGTCATGCAGGGTTAGTAACAGAATGAATAGGAGTATGCATTCCAAAGCCAGACTGACTGGTTCACATATCAGCTCTGTCATTTACCAGCAGTGGGACTTTTGATGAGTTACTTAGACTTCCAGAACTTGGGTTCACATTTGTCCCTCAAGAACCTACCAGAGCATCCGTCATGATAATTATATTAAAATATGTCAATAATTATGTTAAATAGTACCTGTTACCAGTCTCCTTCTTTTTTTGTCTTGCAGATTGAAACCAGTAAAAAAACATGCAGAACAAAAGATGGCGACCGAAATCCAAAGCCAGGGGGCCTGAAAATCAGAGGGTGTTACAACATAACAGGCGGTTACAGGCCATGGCTCAGGGTAGGCCTGGAATAGACTGTGGTTCTCTTCTACAAATCAACCTAGACTGGACGGACAGAACTCCGAGGGAGGAAAGAAAATGAATCTGATGTTACTTTTGGAAACCACATTTTCTGAAGTCACCATTTTTATATATCAACTCATCATTTTTATGTATCTATCAATATGATTTTCTGATCTTATGTTTTCCTACTAATGTGATAAATTACCTTGATGGATTTTAGAATATTAAATCACCTTTGTATTCCTGGAATAAATCCTAAATGGATGTTTGATTTTTGCTAATCCCTTAGCAAAAATGCTAATATTTTATTTAGGATTTTGCGTCTATATTCACAAGTGAGGATTTTTTTCCTCTCCTGACATCAACCAACTCTCCAGTTCTCTAACACAAACTGAGTGTCCTACAATTCAATTCAGTTTTGACACTAACTACCCAGAGTTGGAATTAGCCTCCACAGATTTAAGGGCTCAGTCCCACAAGACTGTCCCAATCAGACTCCAGTTGCAAGTACTAGGCCGACCCATACTTTTGGGCAACTGGCTATAAATTGGGGATTCTTATGACCACTTCCTGCAGGCTTGACAATTTGCTATAATGATTAGAGGAACTCAGAAAAGTGCTTAACTTAATATTACTAGGTTATTATAAAGGATACAATTCAGGAAGAGCATGTGTTCACCAACCTGGAAACCCTCTGAACCCCATCATTTAGAGGTTTTAATGGAAGTTTCATTACACAGGCATGGAAATGGAGTCTTACTCTGTCACCCAGGCTGAAGTGCAGCGGTGCCATCTTGGTTGACTGCAACCTCCATCCCCCGAGTACAAGCGATTCTCTTGCCTCAGCCTCCTGAGTAGTTGGGACTAGAGGCAGGTACCACCATGCCCAGCTAATTGTATTTTTCGTAGAGACAGGGTTTCACCATTTTGGCCAGGCTGGTCTTGTAGTTCTGACCTCAGGCAATCCACCTGCCATTGGCCAGGCTGGTCTCGAACTCCTAATCTGAACTAATCCTCTCACCTCGGCCTCCCAAAGTGCTGGGATTACAGGCATGAGCCCTACATAGCCATGGTTGATTAAATCATTGAACATTGGTGATTACTTCAATCTCTAGCCCCTTGTCCCTCTCTCCTACCCAGAAGTCAGTGGGTGGAGCTTAAAGTTCCAACCCTATAATCATGCCTAGTTCTTTTTTTTTATACATGCAATCTTGGCTTATTTCTGTGTAACATAAATTATTACTCTTACCAGTTCCTGAAACATTTAAAACTTTAGGAAACTTTAGTTTCATTTATCCCCTTCCTCATTTTGTGTTGTTGTTATACATCTTTAGTTCTACGCATGTATTTAAATTCCATAAGACATTATAACTTTTGGGTTGGCAATAAATATTCATTAATAATCATCTATATATTCATCCATTCCGGGTTTTTTTTTTTTTTTTTTTTTTTTTTTTTTTTTTTGTGTTTTTTTTTTTTTTTGAGAGACAGGGTTTTGCTCTTTGCCCTATCCCCCAGGCTGGACTGGTGTGGTAGCACAATCATGGCTCATTGCAGCCTTGGCCTCCTGGGCTCAAGTGATCTTCCTGTTTCAGCCACCTGAGTGGCTGGGAATACAGGCAGGTGCCATAATGCCTCAAATGTAAAAAATGGTTACATTTTTTAATTTTTGTAGAGATGAGGTCTCACTATGTTGCCCAGGCTGGTCTTAAACTCCTGGGTGCAAGCAATCCTCCAACTTTGGCATCCCAAAGTGCTTGGATTAGAGGCACTCCTGGCCTATATACATATATATTATATATATATATAATATATATATTTAATTGAAATATGATATTCACTCTGAAAACATGTACAGATCAATACATTTTCACAAACAGAATGTTTTACATATATTTTAAAACATTAAATTCTGTTTAAAGAACCACAATTTTGTATTTTAAGAACACATTATTTAGTGTTCAGCAGATGGTCTCCTGAGGAAATGTGTGATTTCACACTATGGGCTGTCTTTGTCAGCCCTCCCAGATTGCCCCATCTGTGACTTGATTTTTTTTTTCTGCTTGTCAAGGTGTCCTCCTCAACTCAATTCACCTCTGCTTCAGGCCAACCGAGCCAGGGTCCTTTTGTCAACCTTCTGGCTTCCTTTGCCCTGAGGGACGGAAGCCTTTCTTCACACCCCAATCAGCTTCTCTTTCTGCACGTTGCTGATCTGGAGCCTTGCTGTCATTTGTGGATGAGACATGCCCTGGTCCTGGGAGCAGAGCCTCCCTTTGACTGCACCATTTGTTGGCTGTGCTTTAGCATCCTGTGGAGATTATGACTGAAAAGGCTGGAGACACTGATGACTGGTCCAGCAACAAGAGCTTGAGCTGTGTGGGAGGAAAGACTGAAAATTACAATAACAGTCATTACTGGGGAAGCTGAGGCAGGAGGATCGTTTGAGCCCAGGAGTTCATGACAGCCTGGGTAATTGCTAGACCCTGTCTAATTACATAATAATAATAATAAATGGAATTATGGGGAAAAACAGGAAGTTAAAAAAGTTTTTTAGCAGTCACCATTCCTTAGGCATCTACTGTCAGGTGCTCTGCCAGAAACTTCTATGGAACATCTCATGAATACTCAAAACAATTCTGTGAAGAAAATATAATTACTATCTGATATGGTTTGGCTGTGTCCCCACCCAAATGTCATCTTGAATTGTAGTTCCTATAATCCCCACGTGTCACAGGAGGGACCCAGTGGGAGGTAATTTAGTCATAAGGGTGGTTACCCTCACTCTGTTCTCGTGAAAATGAGCGAGTTCTCATGAGATCTAATGGTTTTATAAGGGACTTTTCTCCTTTTGCTTGTCGCTCCTCTTTCCTGCTGCCATGTGAAGAAAGTGTTTGCTTCCCCTTCAACCGCGATTGTAAATTTCCTGAGGCCTTATGAGCCATGTTGAACTGTGAGACAAACCTCTTTCCTTCATAAATTATCCAGTCTTGGGTATGTCTTTATTAGCAGTGTGAGGATGGATTAATACACTATCCAACTTCAAATAAGGAAATGGAAGCTCAGGGAAGCAATTAGCCTAGGGTCACACATCTAGTAAGTACAGAGAGTGTTTGGATCAGATTTAATTCATGCTCTTTGCTCTAGGTCCAGTCACGTTTTCTACACATATCTCAGCTGCTGATATACGACTCAGCTGTTCCCATTTTCCCTGGAAAAGCAGGAGCTGGAAAGGACCTTAGAGGTCATCCAGGTCAATCATCTCATTTCACTGAGGAGGAAATTGAGACTTGGATCAGGTCAGTGGTCGTCATTCTCACCCACATGCCATCCATAGCCACGTGCTAGTGACTCCAAAGTACACACATTTCTCCAAAGGCATCTGGGTGTTCCCACCTCTCTGCTTTTGCTAACAAGTTTCCTTCTGCTGGACATCCCCTTTCTCCTCATTTCATACTGTTAATGATCTTTTCAGCTTTCAAGGTTCACTCCAAGCATAATTTCTCTCATAATTTCCTGAGTATCTGCAGGCTACACTCAGTAATTTCTACTGTGCAGAGGAGTGTTACCACAGCAGGCCTGAGGCTGCTATTCTTAGAAAGTCCTTCTTTCAAGGTTGGCCCGTCCAAGGCTGGCATGTAGAAGCTTGGATTTCAGGAGAGTTCCCATGATTCCCTGATAAGAGTGGCTCATTGTGCCTGGGCTGTTTGTGTAAACAGTATGGCTTATGTGAAACCTGCTTTCCTTCCGGGAGTCTAGAATCTTGGTGCATGTAGGCAGAGGTTGTCTACATGACCAGCTCCCAGCAAAACTTTGGGTACTGAGTCTCTAATGAGCTTCCCTGATCATAGACATCATCTCACACTTGTCACAGTGCATTGCTGGAGGAATTAAACGTGTCCTGTGTGATTCCACTGAGAGGCTCTTGGAAGCTTGCCCCTGGTGGCTTCCAGACTTTGCCCCATGTGCCTTTTCCCCAAGCATACAAATTTTGCTTTGTATCCTTTCATGGTAATAAATTACAGCCATGCTGATGGCTATACTTTGGGTCCTGTGAGTCCTCCAAACAAATCACTGAACCTGGGAATCTTGAGTGGTCTCAGGGATCCCCAGCACACCTCCCATATGTTCTGCCATATGCTCAAATAAAGATTTCCTGCATTAACACCCAAATGTTGCAATGTTTTTGTTTATGAATCACTCACTCACACTGTCGAAAGCAAGTATGTTTTCTTCTTCTTTTTATTTCAATAGGTTTTTGGGGAATAGGTGGTGTTTGGTTACATGGATAAGTTCTTTAGTGGTGATTTCTGAATTTTGGTGCACCCATCACCCAAGCAGGGTACACTGTACCCCATGTGTAGTCTTTTATCCCTCACCCACTCTCACCCTTCCCTTAGAGTCCCCCAAGTCCTTTGTATCATTTTTATGCTTTTGCATCTTCATAGCTTAGCCACTTTTATTTTTTTGAGACGGAGTCTCACTCTGTCGCCAAGGCTGGAGTGCAGTGGTGCAATCTCGGCTGACTGCAACCTCCGCCTCCCGGGTTCAAGCAATTTTCTTGCCTCAGCACCCTGAGTAGCTGGGATTAGAGGTGCACACCACCATGCCCAGCTAATTTTTATATTTTTAGTAGAGACGGGGTTTCACCATGTTGGCCAGGCTGGTCTCGAACTCTTGACCTCAAGTGATCCACCTGCCTCGGCCTCCGAAAGTGCTGGGATTACAGGTGTGAATGAACCACCGCACCTGGCCTATTTTTTAACTACAAAAATGAATTAGCCAACTTGACAGATACATCCTTAGACTGAAGACACCTGGTGTCATTGAACTTGGTTATCCATCTCCTTGTTCTGATTCCAAGCTCACTATATGTTTCAATATAAGAATCTAATCTCCCACATAGATCTTCCTATAGGAAAGGAACACACTGCTGGCAAAAACAGTCTGACTGATGATTATATTTTTCACTAGAAAGGAATTAACTCACACTCCAGGTTTATACCTCGACCTCTCTTAGTTTGGTTAGCATGAGTGTGTCCTTGCTTTCCTCTGTGTGATCTAATGAAACCAGCTTTTTGGACCTACAGAGTGAAGGACAGGATACTGCAACAGGACAGTCCACAGCATTGTTACCCATTCATCCCCAGTCAGGTCTTGTTGGAGACTGCAACAGTTTAGTAATATACTAGTGAGTCAATTTGTAGCTCTACTTGAAGAATGTTTGTGCCAAACAAGAGTTTCAATAACTAAGCTGTGTTGAATGATGTTCAAGACAATTGTTC